TTACCTATAACTAACCCGAGCCTACTTATACTTGCTATTATAGCTCCAGTGAGTGGATATGGTACAGATGACATAGAAAAGGCGAAGTGTGGATATGCCACATGTCTCTGCGATATGGAGATGATTCGATGCTTTAAACACTATAAGGAAGACCTCAACTTGGATAAGTACCAAGGAATGGAAAATACTTCAAAAGAAATCATATGCTTTCAAAGGTGACATTTTCTTGATGATAAAAGGCTTTTTATATTGATTCATTCAAAATACTTTGCCGTTTCTATTTGGCTTAAAACCCCGGGATAATTCTCAAACCAAGTTGGCGCTATCCAAATGGGGAAGACGGGGGCAAAAGGGCAATATACAATTATTACGATGGTATATTGCCCTAATATGCAATCGCGTGAATCTCTTTTCCGGACAGCAGTGTGGTGGTGGCCTAGCATTTTTGTTGTTTAGGTAAAAAAAAAGGAGAGATAACAGCTTTCCCATGACGACATTGGAGTGATAACTGACTAAAATGAACGGAAAAAATTAATGCAAAAACACGCACACATTATTGCTCGATTGATGTCATGGTTGTGTGCCGACTGAAAACTTTCAGTAGCCTTAAACTTCCGCTAACTAATTAATTAATTAATCTACATCAACTTTTGGCCTCAATAAACAAACCCTTTTTTAAAGGAAACAAGCAAATTTTGAAAAACATGGTTGTCAAAACTCAGTTGCAATGGTAATGACAATGTTTACGTGCACGTTACGGCGAAATTTTTAGGAGAAGTCACTAAATTTGGTGATGATAGCTTAAAGGATTCTAAAATTATTCAGCTTTTTCGTGATGGAGTGGGGGGAGGGGGGCTCGAAAGCCCCCCTCCGGTCTCAATAGTGTTAAGGCGTTTTTATGTTCTTGTTTACAGCACGCAGAGACATATGCTTTAAAGATATTCTTGCTACACATTTGCGCAAAGGGGAAATTCATGGCCAGAGAACCGAAAAACCTGTCAAGACAAAGGAGGAGACTTGGTCGCTATGGAAGAAGAAGAAGAGTGGCAGTTCGTTAATACAGAAATTCAAAAACACACCATTCCGAAACCCACTGAATATCACATTGGTTTGTTAAAAGAGGAAGGAGTTTGGAAGTGGGTAAATGGACGACCACTGACAATTGACAAGTGGCAAAAAATAGAGCCAGATTATCGGCAGCCGTCTGGTGATGGAGATGTGGCGGTAATGGCGAAGGATTACCCTAAGTTCACACAAGGATTGTTTAATGACCTCGCAAAACATAAAAAGAGACCATTTATATGTGAAATACCAAAAGGTAAGAGGAGTGAGCCAAATTTATGAGTAAGAAGTTTCTTGAGAAGTTGACCTTCTGTATCTTAATCTAATGTAATATTCACAGATTTCAGATTTTCTCAAAACAGAAACCTGTGAGGACCCGTCCACACGTATCCGGATGTTTTCGGAAACAAAGATCTTTCTTTCTTTTAGCCTTCAACCACCCACACATAAACTGCCTTCAGTCTGGCACCAAAAACGCAAGTTTACAAAAACGTTCCCCAGAGTGAAAATTTTTGAAAACGCCACCCTTACGTGTGGACGGACAAATACAGAGGTTTTCCAACCTCGTTCCCAGGGTCTTCTCATTTTCAAATATGGCGGCTACGAGAATACCCAGATACATATCATACATCATATACTTACTACTAGCATTACGCAATATCTGGAAGGGATGCTATCATACTTCCACTGTTTCAGCGCTTTCAAGCCGGGAAGGGCGAAAAAGACTCAAACACGCTACGTGTCGACGCGTACTTTTTTGAAAACGGAGAAAATTTTTCCAAAAATATCCGATCACATGTATAGAAAGGTCAAAGTTAGCCTTATTATTAATTTAAAGTGTCAGGCTGGACAATCGAGATCTAAAAGGCCTTAAGTATAAGAGATTGCGTATTTCCTATTTTACTACATAATGATTATTTATAATTATGCTGATAATCACAGGAGATTATTGCACAATCAAGGCGGAGGTGGCAGTTTTGGTTCAAGACAGTTTGCTTATTTCCGATACGACCATTCAAAACATACAATCCACGGTAAAAAGATTATTTTCCACCCTGGAAGCTAAGGATCCAAGTGCGATTTACAACTTTGCATTTGCAATGTACGCTGAGCGGCGGAAAATGAGTCCTTTTGGTAGCAAGGAAGACACAATCATGTCCAAGGATAAGGAAATCAAAAGATGCGCAGCTGATCGAGATCTTGGTAACAAAAACTTGTTGAATCGTACCCTCAATAAAATGATCAGTGACAGGTTTATGAGACGCCCAAAAAATACTGAAAAGGTAAGTGTCAATTACGGCTATGCAAAGTTATTTGCATATATTAATAATATGCCCTGGGGGCATGCAAATTATGAATATAAAGAACCACGTTACGTTGGGCGCACCCCTTGCACTCTACTCTATGCAAAGTCATCTGCATATATTAATAATATGCCCTGGGGACATGTAAATTATGAATATAAAGGACCACGTTGGGCCCACCCCTTGCACTCTACTCTAGGCCGCCGTTAAGATTAGATCTAGCGACCCGCCCT